GTTGTTCCTGCCCAGATGGAGATGGACATGGCCAGAAATGGCCAACCTCAGCATTCTGGGGAGGCCCCAGCCCTTAAGCTGCACAGAAAACCTCTATTTCTTTGCTTTCATACTCTGCTGGTTGACTCCACTCAAGCCATCTCCAAGGGTGCCTCTAAGCAGCTTTAGACTGGGAGTAAAAACTGGGGATACACATCTAGAAACCAGCTATCGGCACACAAGGCAATAATACACATTTTATTCTGGTTTTTAGGCATGACACCAATACAGTGACAGTTAGTCTTGCCAAGAGTGCTAGAGTCTATTTTCATGGAAAAAAAAAATAATTGTCCATTTCACCATAAAAATTATGGGGAGTGGGAAGAGCAGCTCCAACACCAACGAGTTTAGTTGAGATCTATAGGTACCATTTCCTCAGACAGTACGTTACCTTCAAAAATTACCCTTTTAAACATTAAAAAAAAAGTATTTTTCTTTTTGGAAGGATGGAAGGAAGGAGAGAAGGAAGGAAGTGGAGTCCCTACCTGTTTGTGAACCTTTGTAAGCTGTTCCAGGTTGTTCTCAAGAAAGGAAATTTTCTGCTTCTGCGCAGCACTTCCACCTCCGTCGTCGCTGTCGAGTTCAACGCTCTGCACAGAGAGTTGCAGAGTTCAGCAAAGTCAGGCAGAAACTCAAGAGGAAGCTCAGGTCTTTTGTCAATTTAAGCTTCACAAAGTCAGGAAAGTCTTTCAGAGCCTCAACTTAAAGAGAATTTATTTTACCTGTTCATTTGATATTTAAGAGCCACATTCCCCGCTACACAAAAACTATTCTTACTGAACAATTATGGAGGAATCCTGAATAGGAAAATCATAGATTTTAGTGGGGAAAACCCCTTTTTCCCACTTTTTCCCACTCCTGAGAGACATTTTTATTTAATATGTGTTTTCAACCTGAAAAAAAAAAGTATAAAAACTCTTTCTTTCCCAAAACTACTCTAAAGGACTAAAAATTGTTTCAAAGCCTTTGACTATCTATGCAGCTCTGACTCTTTTTCAACAGTTAAAAATACATTAATTTCTGCCAAACAAGAATTTTGCCAGTCACAAGCCCATGGAAAGAAAGGACAGCAGCACCCCGAGTAGCATAAGTCAGTGCAAGTTATATTGAATAATTTCTGGTACCCCTTCATACCATCTTTGAGAATTTTGTAACTGAACTGAACTGGATTGGTTCATTTCACTTAACAAGCGAGATTTGTCCTTAACAAATTAGGACCAAATAAAAGCTAAGAAACTTCAGAACAGTTTTAATCTCATTGCTCAGTGTTACTGAAAAAGACAATAACCCATTTTGTAACAACATGCACTTAAAAGCTTCCAGCAAATGTCAATACTGCAAAAAAAAGGTAAGACTTTGGTCATACTTTTTTAACGCGGGTGGTGAGATCTTGCACAAACAGTTTGCGTAGGTTGTGTAGAGTCTGAAGTTCTCTTGCCTGGAATCAAAATAATAATAATAATTTTTTAAAAAAGCACAAACCAGCAAGAGATAGTAGATACTCTGGTGTAAAGATTCTCCTCAGATTTCAGTCCATAGTATGACTTTATTGTGATTTTCCTTGTAGAGATCTACCTGCCTGTAGGTATGTGCAGCTCACAGAAAGGCAGTGCCCATGCTGCTCCCCACTGAAGAGCTCTTGTACCTCCCAAGGTGTTCACCACACCAAAGCTACTTCTGAAAATACCTTGACTCTATCTTAGGGGGTGGGGAAACAATAGCAGAAAGCTGAAGTCTCACAAACTGGCCACGGTTACACACATCTAGCAACGTGAAATAGCTCTGGGTTCACTCTCCAGCAGACACATCAGCCCACTCTGAATGCTCACTCACTCTGAATGCTCACTCACTCTGAATGCTCACTCACAGGCACTGAAGATGTTTAAGTGCTTTGTAAGTTTTGGCAAAAATCCAGGCTTTTCCCAGCTTTTTTCATATGCATCAACTTCTCAAGCTCAGTGAAATAATCACCTTACTCCAGACTGGAGGTGTGACACAAGAAGTGGCTGCAGCTACTCCCAGAAGGATGGAAGCACTAATCCATTTGCAGGAAAAGAAACTTCATGGATAGGCAGTTGGCCCCAACCCCATACTGCACCAGAGACCTACTGAAGAGAAGTGTCTTCCCAAAGTTGGTAAAAGCAACCTTAACTTTTCCATTTTATGCTTATTCACTCACACCTGGAATTTAAATGAATCGCTTAATAAGCTCTACCATGACTACAAGCTTTTGAACTTGATTTTTTTTTTCACCTTTATCTCTTAAAAGGCAAAACCAACTACAAATCAAAAAGGAGAAGCTTCCTTCATGGACTGCTGGAAACCATCCATTACAAGCACAGCTTATTGACGTATGAGTGATGTGGCACCCACAAGAGGCACCGTGTGCCACTCTGATTCAAACACAGTGGCAGAGCAGACACCTCCCCAAGAGCTCCCATTTGGGGTGCTGCCCCAGCAGACCACCCCCCGTAACTCCTTCCCATGGGACCCTTTCTCTTGTTCCCTCACCAGCCCAGCACTGGGAAGCAGAATGAGTCAAAGTGTTGTGTCTCCCATCCCATCTCACCGGGTGGGGGGAGTGAATGTAGGACCACATGGTCCCACTGTGGGTCAAACCACCACTACTTGTCACCTTCCCTGGTGGGACTGAAAAGACAGGCAGACGAGGTGCTCAGGGACATGGTTTAGAGGTGGAATTGGCAGTGTTGGGGTTACAGTTGGACTCAATCTTAAAGGTCTTTTCCAACCACTATGATTCTATATTAACACTGGCAAAAATCACTGTGTGATTCTCCTAAACCAGTTATGGTTTTGTCCAGCTTCTGGACATTTCCTTGGGCACTGACACAAGTGTTTTGGTAATACACCAGTGATGAAGAGCTAGGAAAAAAAAAAACAACTCAATAAAATGTAATTAAGACATACCACTGTTTCCTCCAGTCCCTTAAGATCTTCTCTTGCTTGTTCCCTTTTATCATTAAGCAGTCTAGAAAGATCAGGACATTAAACACAAATCAAAATTGTTGAAGTCATGAAAGACCAACAAGAATCAATCCTCATTCAGTTTGGGTAGAGCATCTGCAGATGTGAGCAAATTGTACATTTCTTTACATCTGTAATTATGCTTTCAACTGTCCCAAATATGCAGCTTTCTCACATGGAACAGCTGAGCCATCATCTCCACTTTTTGTGTCCACAAGTGAAATTTTTATCTCTCATTTCCAGGAAAGGATTTTACTCAGATATCTGATTCATTACTTAAAAAAAACAAAAAGAAAACCAAAAACCCCACCCCAAAACCCCAACTTCTTTCTTCTTTGTTTTTGCTGTGCATTAAGGAATGAAGGATTTAAAACATGCTATGACATTTCATTAAAAAAAACCTGGGGAAGTATCAAATCCACTATTAAAAAATCTATGCCATAAAAATAAGGAGTAATTGGTAATCAGTTATTAGTACTGCATGTTGGCTTTGTTACTGAAATATCTTCAGTGTGAATATTTCAACATAAATGCTTCTCACTGGGATAATTCCCGTGGATACATTAAGAGACACTATATTCAAAGACACCAGATGAGAAAAGTGTTGACTTACATGAGCTTTTCCAGTTTCATTTCTCTTTCCTGGTCCTCAATTTTTAACTTATCATAATCAGCGCTCAGTTTCTCTTGTTCCAGTTGCAGCTTCTGATTCATACTGGGAGGCAAAAGAAAAAAGTCAGCATGGCTCAGTCCTAAAGCTCATAAACAAGTGGTGGGTAAATCTCCCTAAACAAAATGGGGTTAGACAGAGGAAGTAAAGCTGTAACTCTCTACTGAAAAATTCTGAAAGCATAAAGAATCTGAAGAACAATATTTTAAAATATTAGAGAATTAAATTCAGTGGCTTGCTTCCTTTATCTTAAAGGACACAAACTGTTCTTGCAATCTTTCTGTCCTGTTTCCTCATTTCCCTATTATTAGTTTTTGGCCACATAATAAATATGATGAAAAAATGAACACTACCTCAGGATTACCTAGATTTCATGAACACTGACAAAAAGAAGAGCACAAGAACAAACAACTCTGTTTGACATGTGCTGCTGGAGTACCTAACAGGGTTACATTGCTGGGTCAGGAAGAAATATTAAAGGTGTGAAGAAATATTAAAGGGTGATGGAGCCCTGGGACAGGCTGCCCAGAGAGGGTGTGGAGTCTCCTTCTCTGGAGATGTTCCAAACCCACCTGGGCACTTTCCTGTGTAACCTGCTGTAGGGAACCTGCTTTGGCAGGGGGGTTGGAGTGGATGATCTCCTGAGGTCCCTTCCAACCCCCACCACTTTGTGATTCTGTGTGCAAATGGGACATGTTCGGGTCACCCAGACTCCTAGAAAGTCTGTGGCAGCATTACTAGCTGCAAGAGACCCTCAAAACCTTCATCTTTTAAAATCTCTTCTCCTCTAAGCTTCTCTTACCTCCTGACCTGCAGGCATACCATTATCTTTCTTTTTCCTCTCCATAATTTTATGGACGTCTTAAAGCTCCACAATAAAGAATCAGGCACTATAATCAACTGTGCAAAATAATGAGAGTGTTGGCTGTTGCATGTAAGGTCACTACTTTCTGTAAGACACTGAAATATATAGACATCAATTAAAACTAACAAAACCAACCCCAAAACATCCCTACAGTGTCACAGAACAGGGCAGGAACAGAGAAAGCGACGGAGCAAGTGAACATACTCTCTGATTTCATCAATTATTTTCTGCTTCTCTTCAATTTCATCCCTCAGCCTGGACAGCTGCTTCTGGTGGGCTTCCCTGTGACTCTCCATCTGCTGCTCCAGTGCCTTCTGCAGAGTGCAAAAACCAGAGCCATATGTGAAACAGAAACCACGAAACACAGCTAAGCTTCCTCCTTACACGTCAGCTAAATCCACCCATCCTTCTGGATTCGAGTGAAACTTATCTAATTAGGTTAATTCAGGAATCTGCCTGCGAGATCTTTCTATGATTACAAAACTGTGCAGCTACTCATCCAAGCATTTAATTCAGACAGTTGTTAGCAACAGATTTACACCAATTTCTACTCATTTTCTTACAAAAACTACTGCATGTGAAATCTAGGGTCTTAGCATATCAAGTGCCAAGAGTAACACTGTTTTTACCAGTCCTCTATTATTTCACCTGTTTATTCACCCCAAAAATAAGTGTACAGCTATACCTGTGACAGAAGTGAAACCCAAAACATTCTCCTTCTCTGAGAATTGTTTATCCACAGCCCTGTTATTTAAATTTTAGGATTAAATATATCTCAAGTAGTAAGAAAAACTCAATGCATCACCTCTTTAGATAGTAATAAAAGATTTGCTTTTTTCTTCCAACTGGAAGGAAGGTTTAAAAAAACCTGTACAACTGTTTGAATAACTTTAAATTTTTATAATGGAGGTGAAAGTTCTGTAGCTGACAAACCTCTATCCTTGTAAAATTATATTTTTCCTTTTAGGTAATCAGAAACACAACTCACATTATTGCCTAACATTTCTTCTCTGCATTCCAAAGGAAGAAGAAAATGCTGGAAAACAGGTTTATATTTCATTATTATTTCTAGGAGACAGTCAGAATTCTTGCTAAATGGTTTGGGAAAGTGATCTTTTTTTCTAAAATTTTAGTACCTGAATTATATTAACCCCAGTAGCCTGATTCCCTACTTAGCAAATTGACTTTCAGCAGAGTTCCAGTGGCAAAAAACCAGAGTAACATAGAGTTGAATCAATATCATTTGTATGAATCAATATCATATGTAACAAAACTGTTCTCAACTATGGACACAATACACTGACTTTTCTAGTTCAGTTCTCTGGTGCTGTGAGTTGAGGAACCCAGGCACGTCCAGTTCAGCAAACACAGTCCACTGGACCTCTCTACTCTTTGATTTTGGCCCAGCTTACAAACTGCTCCCAGAAGACACGCTCACTTCAGATATATTCAGGATATATTCGGATATATTCAGGCTACAACTTATTTATTTCCATCACCTGGTGAACAACCTCAACACTAGCAAGTTCTCCAGTTTCAAATTGCGAAGGTGACTCAGGGACATGAGGTTGGGTTTTCTAACAGAGGTTGGCAATTGTTTTCTAAAAGCACTCACTGGGTACAGGAAGACAAAATTACACCCTCGTTATGAGCTTAACAAACAATCTCACTGAGAAATACCCTCTAAAATTGCCACATGCCATGTTACCTTCATCTCCTCTGCGTCCTGCAGCCGGGTCAGATGCTCCTTCTCCTTATCCTTGAAACTGACCTCGTGCATTTTTTCTGTTTACAGTTGGAGACAGTTGAGAATTAACCACACAGTTCCAAAAGATGCTATTAAAAAAACCACCCAGTTCCTCTTTTTGCAGGGGGCAGTGGGATCAGGGGAGGCAGCTTTGGAGGGGCAGGAACAGCCATGGTTTGCAGCACCCAACCTGTGACCACACTGCCCAAACCTCCTCCTCCTCCTTTACTAACAGCCCACTCAGCACCTTTCCAACCTACCCTTGTCTCCTTATAACCCTACCTATCACAATCCTCCTTGTTCCCTTCTACTTTCTGCTGGGAAATGGTGGCTTCCAGAACCAGGTAATTTCTTAGGAGTGGGGTCAGGAGATGGAATAAAAATTCTATTGTAAAAAATTCAGGAGAAGACAAAGAAAAAAAAAAAGAAAAGAAAGAAAATTTAAATCTTTTTACCATCTCCTGCTTCTGGAGTAAGAGAACAGAAATCCAGAGTAATGTTAAGGCTACTAGGTCACATAGTAATTATAAGTAAACCAGGAGCTCAGCAATACTGGAAGAACTGCTTTTGATACTCATTTTCTACATTAAACCAGAAGGTGAAAAACCAGCAGTTCTTAAAATGAAGTCAGCTGGATCCTATAGAGGAGCTAGGAAAGACACACCTTCAACTCAATCCTAAGGGAAGCAGCTTCCTTTTGAATAGGGCAGGGCATTTGCCACAGGGACAACTGAAATTGGAGATATCCAAGAATTTTACCAAATTTAGCAAGATTGATTGGTGCTGTTTGACTCAAGTATTTGTAGGGTTGTTTGGGTTTTTTTTATTTCTCACATCCTGGAAACTTGTAAAAGTTTTTGATTCTTTTGAAAGATTAAGTTTCTCTGTATTTTGTGAAAAGATTAGGCTGAAAGGGATAATTCTGGTTTTATCTGCAGTGTAATGTATTACAAGGAGGTGCAATGTGTTAAATATTCCAAATCACAATTTTATGTCTTCAATGCAAAATATTAAGCAGCCAATAAAATGCTGTAGGACTACTCTACACAGGATACTTCAGCCAACACTGAATTTTCTAAGATAGAGTTGGGAACAGAAATGATGAGCACAAGACCCACTGTTGTACCTTGAGCACGTAACTTGGCAAGTTCTTCATTGAGAGAGTCCTGTGACTCTTCCAGCTGCCTTCTCTTCTGCTCCATATTCTGCATGTAGTCTGTCAGGGACTTGATCTTTGCTTCGTGCTTTAAAGACAAGGGGAATAGCAATGAGATGTGAGTATCACAGCCTGTTACCTAGAAATTTCCTACATAAAGGAGGAAAAAGAGAAAGCTCCCCACATAAAGAGCTGATGACTAGGTGAAAACACAGCTCCTGAGAATGAGCTCATGGACCAAAACAGACTCCATTTTTAAAGGTCACACTTAGCAGCCCAAGACGCGGACTGAACAGCGCAGGTTCACTCCAAAACATCATGGGAAGCTCATGATTTGATGTTAAACGAACAGCAGCAGCTTTCTAAAACCAGCTCAACATGGGGCTTCTGAGGTGGCTTCCTGGATGCTTCAACCTGCAGAAGCTCAGATTGACTTTCCCCAGCCATCCTGATAATTTTTTCAGGGTAACAGCCTTTTGAGCTAGAAGGGCTTATGTTTCAAAAGAAAATAGTGAAGAATGGATTGAAAATATCAAAAATAAAATTAAAATTTTCTAATTTGGGAGAAAAATTAAGATACTGTCTGGGAATTATTACATCCCTGGAAGTGTTGAAGGCCAGGTTGGATGAGGCTTTGAGCAACCTGGTCTAGTGGAAGGTGTCCCTGCCCATTCCATGATTCTATGACTGAGTTTGCAAGGTCTCAGGACTTGCCAGGCTTGCTCTCTCTGAGCTCTTCCCAAGCTGCCTTGCAGCTTTTCTTCTCCTTTTTTAACTTGGTGGCTTTATGGATAAGGTGCATTTGACCATTAACAAGATTTTGACCATAACAACACCTGGCTTCTCCTCACAGACAGGCCTCAGTATGCACCCAGTTATAGAACCTCCAAAACACCAAGTCAAGGTGATCACCTGCTTAAGAGCATTTCGGTCTGGTTTCTTCACCACATGAACATCCAATACTTGGATAAGTCTCTCAAATCCTAAACCTCCAGTCTCCTGTCTGTAAGTAGGTACTGAGGACAGCAGTGAGGTCATGCTTGTGACAAGCTCTGAGCATTAAAGCTCTCTGTGATTCCAGCGTGACTACAGCGTAAGAGGACAAACACCAAGCCCACAGAGGCAGCAGTGCCTCCTGCTCACTCCTTCACTGAGTCAGCATAAGCCAACTCCACGTCTGGAAGAGGCTGTCCCACCACTCTCTGCCGAGACCTTCATCCCCAGCTCCATGCTAGTGCCTGCAGAAGCAGCACACAGCTGCTTTGTGAGTCAAACCTCAATCTGCTTTTCTAGTGCAAGTTCCCAAGGAAAGGGAGCAGGCCAGGTCAGCAGGATGACTCCCATCAGTGGCCATGCCAACCCAGGGTCTGCTTTAAGACAGGATGGAAAGTATAGTTTTTGCTTAACATTTTTTGGACAGCCAATACCCTCAGGACTCCAGCCTCCCTGTAATACTCAGCAGCACACTTCCAGCTACAGCTTTATTGAGTAGAACTTAATAAAGACATTCTGCTGAAGGACAAGAGGCTGTCCTTGCTCTAGGTTTTCTTAGACTAACTGGCAGCAAATGAAATACAGTAAACTCCAGTCATCTCCTCCCCTTCAAGTGTCCACTTCAAAGCGGTTTTTTTTAGTCAGCCCCTCTCCTGCAGCAGTCTGCAGAAAGCAGCACTGCTTGTAACTGCCACCCACTCTGAAGCCCTCCTACCATCTGGATTTCTACCTTAGCATCACAGAATCCTAGAATGGTTTGGGTTGGAAGGGACCTTAAAGCTCATCCAGTCCCAACCCCCCTGCCAGCAGCAGGGACACCTTCCACTAGACCAGGTTGCTCAAAGCCTCATCCAACCTGGCCACAAACACTTCCAGGGAGGAGCAGCCACAGCTTCTCTGGCCAACCTGTTCCAGTGTCTGACCACCCTCACAGCCAAGAATTTCTTCCTCACATGTCATCTCCATCTCCCCTCTGCCAGTTTCAGCATTATCCTGGTGGCCTCCTCTGGACTTGTTCTAACTGGTCCATGTCTTTCTTGTGTTGCGGGCTCCAGAACTGGACACAGCACTCCAGGTGGGACCTCACAAAGAATCACCTCCCTCAACCTGCTGGCCATGCTTATATAGCAATGTTTTCCATAACCTATTATTTTATATATTGCTGCTCAGTTATCTTGTTAGCATCCCAACAGCTCTCTGAATGTTCTGCTAGCGAACGATACAATCACTCCTTCCTTTCTCACATTGCTTTTAAAGTGAAAGTACAAGATACAAATTCATGCTGAGGAAATCACTCTGAGGAGGATTTCCAGTATTCTGCCATAAACCACATTTTGAGATCTCTAACAGGACATGTTCTTGCCACAGAATGTGCTGAAAAACACTGAGGGGGAGGAATGGGAGAAGAGAGAAAAAACCAACAAAACAGACAAGAGAAACACCACTCTGCTCCCAGAATTCTCATTTCTCACTCCTAGCACGCAGGTTTCGTGAGGAAGAAGGCTGAGAAAGTCACCAAACCTTGGTGCAAAGGGACAAGGAAGGAACAAAGGTACCTGTGAAATAAGGAGCTGGCAAGCTGCAAGCTCCCTCTCGCTGGCGTTCATCTTCCTGTTGGAGTCCATCTGGGCACTCTCCAGCTGCTTGCTGCGGTTCACCAGGGACTTCACCTCAGACTTCATCTTGCTGATGTAAAGCCGTGCCATGGTGAACTCCTCCTCGATCACCCCGTTCACATCTGCTAACTAAACACACAGAGGATTGCAATCTTTAAGGTGCGGTTCTTACAGGTGAGTCAAGGCAAAGCAGTCTGCCTGCTGTGAAACTCTTGTCTAGAGCTTGGAAGCCTCTGTGAAAGCACAGCAGCACTCAAGGAGCACCCACAGACCTGCAGGTCACCCGTAAACATGTTACATCACTCTGTTTCTTACAATCTTCACTGATAAGCCTCAAAGGTGAGAAACTAAACCTTGCACTCAGTGTGCTTCATCAATTTAGTGGTTCAACATCTAAAATAATCAAGCCTGACACCATGACAAGAGCATATTCTGGAGAAACCTTCTCATGTCACCAGCACAGGAAATTTTTCTTCTTTCAAGCAGCTGAAAGCTGAGGAGCATTTTTAAAGTAGTCCTTAAAGAAATCTCCTCTTGAAGGGTTGTGCTTCTTCAATACGGAGCTGTAAGACAGACATGGGTCTGGAAATCTCACCTGGCAAGAGGAAAGTAACTGCTCTCGTCTCTGAATATTACTATAATTCCATTTATACATCATTTCCTTCCCTGGTTTCACACAGTGCCTTTTATTTGCATGTCTTTCTCTTCATGATTTTTCTTCAACTACTTAATCCATGTAACCTACTGACAAGCTGTGAAGGTTCTCCTTGAGTGAGCATATGGCTCCCAACTTCATCTGCTTTTTGCCTTTTTCCCAGCACCACCAAGGGGAAGATGACACGTGCTGTATCTTCTCCTAACAGCCTAAAAAAATGTAGCTGCTTCCAAAACTCTCAGTCTGGTCTGAAATTAGACATATTTTGAGAAGATGCTAATTGCCAACAAATTTGAAATTATTCTTCTGAAGAGTTCTCAATCTGGCCTTATTTACACTGACAGCTGTCCTGTAAAATGCTGACATCTCACTTACTATAAAAATTTCTATCAAACAGAATCCACCTCCATTTTCAAAGATTTCCTCCCATAGTTCCTGTTACAACGGCCACCAGAGGTTGCTGTAACATCTGACAAAGTCTGGTCTTCTGGTCCTGGCATCCGCATAACCACAGCAGACAACAGGGATGGTGTCCTCTGCAGTCAGAGCAGGCTGGAGCATCTGCTGATCTAAGGGGCTTGTAGCAGGATATCAACAACTCGCCGAGTCAACTCAAAGCACTCCAGCCACACATACTCAGGAAAGTTCATTGCTCAAAACCTGAGAGGTGAACTAAAAGCAAGGAAAAGGAGTGCATGGCAAGGAATTTACATACATCCTGAAAATTAATTTCTTAGCCAGTTTTAGCAATTGCTCTTTTTCACATGGTTTTATGTAAAATGTCATTAACATCACTATGAGTATTTTCCAGGCCATGAAAAGTTTCCACCAGAAATGTGTCGTTTAGCAATGACCTACAAATATCTTCTCTGAGGCTTAGCAGTTTGCTCATCTACGACAGGAGAAGTGTGACAAAGTGAGTAGCTACTTCCTTTACCATGTCTGTAAACCCAAGAGCCCGGCAGAAGGCGAATTTCAAAGCAAAGCTGGCCAAAATTTGCACCACCTGCAAGCACATTCAGATACTGAAGTTTCTGCTGCTTCAACCACTTTCACTCCTGTTCTTACCTTCCAACCTCAGAGGAAAATGAGCCTCTGCAGTTTTTCCTCTATAAATATCTTCAGTCAATACATAAAAGTTAAGCAGGTCCAACTGTCATGTAAATAATTAAGTGGTACCCAGCAGAAATTTACCAGTGCTGGAAATCAGTACTTTTAAAGCATCTTGTGTTCAGAAACACACATGAAAGTGTGAGTTCTTTGATGAAGCCACCCACTGCCGAAAGGCAGTAAACAGCAGAACACAGAAAACACAATTTCTGTGCAGACCTTTCCATTTGGGTACCCTGGGCAGCCGTCAGAACAGACTGCTGGCTTTGAGAACTGGGCACCTTCAGCTAGATAATAGCTTTAGGATAAACTTCAAACAAAAAAAGTAGTCACCCAGAAGCCAAATGTCACCAATAAAGATTCTTCTGATTCTGGGAATACTGGGTCATGCCAGCTAACGATGGAATAAGGTTACTTGTGTGTTGTTTTGGGGGGAACTCAGTCCACCCCCATTAAAAAAACGCATCAGCACACAGATGGGCTGCATTAGTCTGGCCCCAACCACAGAGCTAGGAATAAATGTAGTAATTGTGTGCAGAGACACTGACCAGCTCTGACCCAGACAAAGATCTCTTCAGTATTTTCCTCTGTGCTCTAGCCAGGATTTAAACAGCAGTGTCCTGGGAGAAGGACTGATGCATCACACATCTTCCACGTCAAGTATTTGCATATTGCAGGAAAGGCTGGGGGAGAAGCAATGAAGATAACCAACTTACTGTTTTAACATCGTTAGTACCGATGATTCCTCCAATCTCACCCAGGTCCTTCAGCAGCAAGTTCAAGATTTCTGTAGCTCTCTTCTTCTGATGGTTACTGAGCTCCTGCAACTGGCCCAGCTCCCTCTGGGTGGCTGTCAGAGTACTCTGGAAAGGTTTAAAAGCAGAAGTTACCCTCCCCTCTGCAGACTGGGCATCAGTTCTTCTCTGATTATCAAGGTTACACCGTATTGTCTTGTATTTTCCTGACCACTGCTGGCTCGATGTACCGACGCGTACAATTCCACCTTGCCATAATCCACCTTCACAACTCGCTTGCTAACAAGGCTATTTTAGATCTATTAAATGTAGTAAATCCTCTAAGAATCTTATTTGCATAATACATGTCAAAGAAGGTTAATCACAGAGAAACAGGTGGAGAAGAATATAAAACTCAATTTATTTTTCAAATATATTTTATAGTAATCTGTTTTACCGAAGTGGATAACAAAATCTTTCATGAAAACAAACCTGTTAACA